CTTCTGCTACAGAGAGGCAAGCTGACAGCAAGGCAGAGGGACCAGACTGTGATTGATAAGCTGTAATTTTCTAGCTGATGATCTAGTATTTTGATCCTTGTCCAGGGGCAGGATAGAGCAACCACTCGGCATTTTTAGGCAGAAAGGGATTCACTACAGCAGGTTAGGGCTTACAGAATATCCGGAAGACCTGGACACATGGTCTGTAGGTTGAGTCACCAGGAGTGATGCTATAACACTGCAGACTCGTCCTGCCAGGAAAGTCGGTGCTTCTACCACAATCCACAGGGTGAGGAGTCAAAGGCATTCACTGGTCTCTTGACTTCAGGACATCTTGTGGTGGCTGAATTCAGAAATCAGAAAGCGGCCAATACTGCAACTGCATCTCAACTTCTAGAAGCTGGAATTTGGACAAAGAATACCGAAGCAGAAAAATGCCATGTCTCCACGACCTGCTTGCTGGCATGGACAGCCACAAAGGATATGGCCTGTGCCTCACTCTACCTTCCCAAACGTGCCAGAGTACATCAGTTCTTATCCAGGACCTGATATGCAGGGAATCTGGAAAAGGTAGTTTTATAGATTTTCAGACTCTGCTGTTTAAGAAAGAACAGAAAAGTAAGAAGTGCACACTGAGTGCCAATCAACCACGTCTGACACAGTTAGTTTTGTTTTATCATAGGAATTTATTTTCCTTTCTTAGCCCTTAGCCTTGAGGAAAGACCTGTTTACAAGCTCAGACCTTAGGCCAGCTGTATGGTAGAATATAAGTGAAGCTAATATCTGAGTGGGAGCATCAAATTAGGCAGTGCCGGACAAAAAACTGTGTAGGGTCTAGGATTTTACCCTTCTTCCAAGATGACAGGTTATCCTGCTAGGGTTTCATGGATATGGGGGAGAAAAGACTCCAGGGTCAGAGACAAAGGATATTATTATTTATGGAAAAGGCAGCAGCCAGAGAGTGAGAATGATGCTTGTGCCAGTTCCCCATGCCCCACAAGTCCCACGGGGTGATGCAAAGAGTTCATTACAGATGCCTGTGCACGCGATGGGTTGCATCACGGGAGAGGAGCACTGAGCTTGGAGGATACATTGCTTTTCAATAAGCAGAAGCAGCAAGCCCGCTCTTTGCCCAGGGGAAAATATTACCTCATCCTTCCAGGTTGCTGGCTGCAAACACAACTCTGAGAAATGGCCTGGGTAAAGAGTGGTGTGACATTACTACACACACACACACACACACACACACACACACACACACACACACACAGGTTTTCGTCCTTGGCTCCTGGCTTATGATAGTCACTTGTTCTGATGTTGGGGCATTGCAGACCTCAGAGCCAGGCCTCAGGAAACAAATCTTTCTGACCTTCCCCTGCCCTCTCTTCACCTGCCCAAGGCAGTCTTTCTGTTTAGAGATCATAAGACTCTCATTTCAGATAGAGTCCTGCCCCATGCCCTGAAGGCACAAATGCTGCACAGAGAGGCCAAGGAGAATATGGACAGACAGTGGGTTTCCCCACTCAGTCTATCGGTACTAGATCATCTACTTTTTGTCCAATCACAGTCTGATGCGGTTGCCTTCAGTCCTACCCATCCAACGAAGTCTCCATAAAAGGCCCAGGAGGACAGGGTTCAGAGAGCTTCTGGGAGAGCTCAACATGTGGGGGTTCCCGAGGGGCGGCGCACCTAGAGCGAGTCTGGAAGTTCCGTGCGACTCCCCGAATACCTCCCTTCTATGTGCCTCTTCATCTTCATCCTTTGTATTAAACTGGTAAACGTAGGTGTTTCCCTAAGTTCTGTGAGCCTATCCAGCAAATTAATCAAACCCAAAGAGGGGTTGTGGGAATCCCAAACTGAGGCTAGTTGGTCGGAAGTTCTGGAGGCCCAGACTTGACAATGGTGTCTGGGGGCAAGAGGAGGCAATTTTGTGGGACTGAGCCCTCAGCCTGTGGGATCCAATACTACCTCGAGGCAGGTAGTGTCAGAATGGAATTGAATCGGTGGATGCCCAGCTGGTATCTGCTGCAGAACTGATTGCTTGTTTGTTGGTGCGGACTCCGCCCCGACATCTGACCGCAGATGACACTTCTGTGTTGATTGTTGTGGTATGAGAGCAGAGAACAACACAGTTTGAGTTTTTCCACAGTCAGAAGTGGTTAGGGCTTTGCGTTCTAGGTATATCCAAAAAAAAAAACACCTAGAGATGCTCATAGCCATGGAGGAATGGAAGACTGCCTCTCCTAACCGGCTTCCCATCTGACCTCGTTCTTTTCCAGGCCCAGGTGGCAGGCCCAAGTGGTAATTATGAAACATCTTTCAAGGGAACATGACTTTTTTTTTTTGAGACAACTGTCTCCTCTTCACAGGGAAGTTTCTCCTCATTACTAGCCTTGGAGTATCTGGCTTAATTATTTTTTGTTGTTGTTGGTTTTTGTTTGTTTACTTTTTGAGACGGTCTTGTCTGTTGCCCAGGCTGGAGTGCCGTGGCGTGATTACAGCCCACTGCGGTCTATACCTCCTGGGCTCAAGTGATCATTTTGCCTTAGCCTCCCAAGTAGCTGAGATCACAGGCACATGCCACCATGCCTGGCTATTTAAAGTTATTTTATTTTATTTTTTTTTTAGTAGAAATGGGTTCTCAAGGCGTCCTCCCACCTCAGCCTCGTAAAGTGCTGGGATTATAGGTGTGAGCCACAGTACTCAGCTATTCTGGTTTAATTATATGAAGGGAGGTGGCAGTTTCTTTATGGCCCTGACTGATAGGATCTTGACTTCTCCCGACTGCCTACCAGAGGTGCTGCCCAACTGCTCAACTCCCTCCTTTATAGGGAGCCACGCATGCAGGTTTTCATGGAACTGTTTCCTGGGTGTGGGACTTGCAGTGCTAAGCCTCTCTGGACACAGTTGGCCACTATACTCCTTTAGCATTTGCAGGGCCCTCAAGCCACAGGGCTGGAGTGATTGCCGGCGTTCACTCTATCCCGGGGCCAGATCTGTTCCTCTCCTGTTTTGCCCAACCTGAAACTCACTTCTAAGGAAGGGTATACATACCAAGTCCTATTAAGGGGCTACCTTAAAGACACAGTGTGTTTCCTCTTTTTTTTTTGATGTGGAATTTTGCTTTCATTGCCCAGGTTGTAGTGGAATGGTGTGATCTGGGCTCACCACAACCTCCGCCTCCCGGGTTCAAGTGACTCTCCTGCCTCAGCCTCCTGAGTAGCTGGGATTACAGGCATGCACCACCACACCTGACTAATTTTGTATTTTTAATACAAAATTGTCTGTGTTGGTCAGGTTGGCCTCAAACTTCTGACTTGAGCTGATCTGCCTGCTTCCCAAAATGCTGGGATTACAGGCGTGAGCCACTGCGGCCGGCCTCAATGTGTATTCTCTTAAACAACCGACACCTAATTCAATTATGGTACTGGCAACTATGTATTATGTTTTATACCCACAAAATATTCTGAACCAAAAATTCAGTTCTTGTTGTATCTGGGAGACCTCTGAAGTGAACCCTCTTTAAAGAGGAAGGGAAGGGAGGTGGGAAAAGGCTCCCTTCAGCTTTCTTCTGCCCGTTCTCCAGGATAGTCATACTTTAAACCTGTAGACTGCTCTAGGAATTCCAAAAGCTATTCTCTTGTTACATGAAGATCAGTAAAGGAGTCATTTATGTATAAGCTTGATGGGCTTAGAAGAAGCATAGCAAGCCTGAAAGTTTGAAGAGGGTTTGCAGTCAGATGCTTCCTCTCCCCAAATCCCAAACAAGGCAGGCATTCTGGTCAAAGTAACTATAAAACATTGAGTGAAATAAACCACAGGGGTAATGGAGCCCCATGATGTGAGTCCATTTCTTTCTATTAATCAGATGATTAGGGCTAATGAGGCATGCTGGTCTTTTTCAAAGTCACGTTTAACTGGAAAGATAAAGCAAGAGAAATGTTTCTTGCTGAATGTTTTCTTCTTGTTTCTTATGTGAGTAGCTAATTGGATCTTTTAAAATGTTGTCTGTAAATCATTACCTTTCTATTAGTGGCAATAAAAAATCCATAGGTTCTTATGGTTGCATCTACTTTAACTATGGTAATTGACTATGAATAAAGACAGTGCATTGCAGGGACATGATTGCTTGATTTTCAAGTAGGGAAGTCCTGTGGTGGCACCTGATGCCACACATTGAATTTGCTGATGTCTGGAGCTGAGACTGAAATGAGAGAATGAGGCACAGAGCTTGGAAGGAGGTGATAGGAGGTAGGTTGATTCTGTTTGGATTTAGAATAAGCTCAGAAGAGTATTTGGGTACATATCTTTGCTCACTTTATCAGCAGTGAAGGACTTAAACTCTGGGCAGGGTGGCAGCTGGAGTCCTATTGCCTGTTTGTAGAAAAGTGACTGGGACTGATGGCGATCTCAAGAGAAGGAGACAATGGCAGGGAATGAAGAAATGCCTCGGTTGAAAGGTCAGTCTTGCTGCTGCCAGAAGATCGATGCTGTTTCAGAATGACTTCAGGTACACGCTGACTGTTCTTTGCAGTCAGCTGGCCTTAATTGTTCTCTAAGGATCAGCTGTAGATACAATGGTTGTTGAATTAAAGGGAGATAAACAACAGAATCAAGGTGCATTGGTGAGTCAGGATGACAGGAGAGACAGTAGAGATCCAATGACAGGAGAGACAGTAGAGAGTCAGGGTGAAGAGGTTAAGAAAGAACATAGTCTTTTGGAGCACATTCGTTCATATTGTCTGCAGACTAGCTGTGTGCCTGTATAAAGCTACTTGACCTATCTACACTTGTCACATCTGTAAATTGGAGACAGTGCTCTCATTGGATAAGGCCAAGGGCCAGTGGAGGGGCCTCGACCTGGCAGCAGTGGCCGGCATGGTCACTGGCACTTGTAAGCAACCTCCTTCCCTCCATTAGAGTGTTACCCTGCTCTGTCAATGGTCACCAGCGCCCTCAGAGGCTTTTTTTTTTTTTTTTTTTTTTTTTCTGCAGTTATCATCCTGTTTGTCTTCCCTGCAGCCTGTGCGCATTTGACCCTTTCCTTCTTACAGCTGTCTGCTCTTTTGGCTTTTCTGATTCATCCCATACCTCTCTGACCCTTGCTTCCAGTCTCCTTCCTTTAGCTGCTCCCTCTCTCCCAAGGTCTCTCCACAGTTTGGATGATCTTCCCTGTTCATCTCAGCCTTTCTCATGCCGCCTTCGGGCTGATGACTACAGATCAATATTTCTAGTCCAAACCTCCTGTGTGTCCCAATGGCTTATGGGGCATGTACACTGGATGTCCCCCAAACATTTCAAACTCAACACATCTAGATGAGAACCATCTTTCCCCTCAAACATGTTTCTTTCCCTGTTCTTTTATTGGCTATCAGGCACCTAGTCACCCAACTTGGTGCTAGAAACTTGGGAGTCATCCTACCTTGACCTGTTTTCTCCTCTTGCAGATTGCATCAGCTGCCCACTTCCCTCCTCTCCATGCCCCCTGCCAATGCCTCATCACATTTTGCTTTCACACTGCCTCCCAACCTGCTTTTGTCCACGCAGTGTGGCCTCACCTCTGTCTACCTATTATTGTCAAAGCCAGCTCTCTGGTGAGGAAGTCAGAATGTCACTGCTCCAACGGTATTGACAATACACAACTTAGGAAGCCCGTAGTGTCCTTTCCTACTCAGCCACTCTTGCAGTGTGATCCTCTGCCCCATCCCTGCAATTTTCCCGGCAGCTCATCCACCTGTTGACTGGCAGCACCGTGCCCCGGTGCCTCTACTCTTCCTGCTGCGTGGAAATGAAGGCTAATGGATATTGGCTTCTCCGGTAGCAGGTTGCACAGCATGTACCACGTTGTTTTAAGTCATTTACGTGAGTATTTCCCCCACAAGCCGGAGGTTTCCTCCGACCAAATACCTTGTCTTGTTTATCTTTGGTCCCAGAACCTACTATGGTGAGTGAGACACCGTGGGTGCCCAAGGCACGGAATGAACGATCAGAAATGATTTCTTTATTCAGAGTGGGCTGTCAGCCTCAGTCGCTGACTTTTCTAGAGACCGGCTCCCTCAGGGCTTCAGCGTTCCTCGGCCCTCGCAGCCGCGCAGGTGAAGGGCAGCGGCGTGGCTGGCTGCGGAAGGGCTGGGCTGGGTGACTGCCCTCGCGCCTGCGCCCTCGGCTGCTCCTCTCCGGGCGCGTCTCCGTGCGCGTGTGTCTGTTTGGAGCGGAGGAGAGGCTCGGGTGACAGGCGAGGGGTGGGGGGAAGAGTTCAGCCGGAGTCGCAGTCTCATTCACTGATTTCTCTCCAGCTGGACCGAGGCTGCCTCCCTACGCGGCTTCCAACTATTCCCGTAGCTCAGTACCCCCTCCAGCCGCTCCACTCAGCCAGGCAGACAGACGGACAGACTCGCTAGTGAGTAGCGGCGGCTTGAGCGCCCGGGCAGCGCGGCGGGCTGTCGCTGGCGGTCTGGTCCTCCCACGGGCTGTGCGTGTGTGTGTGTGTATGTGTGATGGGCGCACAGGGGGTGTCCCTGGGATTCCACGCCTGCTCCAAGAGCTCCCTGCTGGGATCGGCGTGTCCATCCGAGTCTGCGCTGCGGTGAGGGCGCTCGCCCAGGCAGGGGGTTCGGACGCCCCCTGCGCGCGGAGGGAGTTTGCCAGGATTCCCTCGCTCCGCATGCAGCGGCTGGTGGGGTTCCCCAGGAAGGCGCCTGGGCAAGGCGGCGGCGGGGAAGCCCGGGATTGTGAGTGGCTAGCAGGCCGGGAATCTGGGAGCGGGTTTGGCCCAGCACAGCCGAGGGAGACGCCGGAGCGGCCACCCTTGGCAGCCCAGCCTCTCCGCCGTTCTCCCTGGCCCTTCCTCCTTTCTTTTCTCAGCAGCATCACAAAGGCGCGCCGCAAAACGAAACCCAGTGCAGCGAAGCTCGGCTCTCTTCCACCTGGTGCATATTCCGTCCCTTGTCCCCGCCCTGGGCTGGAGGAGTGGAGTGAGGGTCCCCAAGATTAGGGGCGGGGGCTTACTCTGGGGGCACACCTGTTTTTGATTCTCGCTGAATTCAGGCTGGGTGAGGGATCGCGAGAGCGGTTCCAACACTTACACTCCGGTGTGTGTGTGTGTATATGTGTTTGTGGCCGCGCACGCGCGCCCGCTCCCCAGGCCCACGCACGCGGGGTGCGCTCAGTCAATAGCACACCTCCCCGCCGGCCCGCGTGCGCCCAGTTGGCTCCGTGGGCTCTTCGCGCGCCCTGTGACAGCGTGCCGGCATCTCTTTGTTTGGTTGTGGCTTCCCTAGCTCTCCGCTAAGCAGACGGATTTTCGGTTTCGCTTGATACTGCGCCCTGGGACTTAGTGCGGGCCACAGCCTCGAATGCCCCTGGTATTTGTAATTGAAGAGTTCTTTCGGGCAGAGGGTTATTTTTAGTGTTGGAATAAAGAGGCAAGCATGTTGACCTTTTTTGCTGCTGCCTTTGGCTTTGAATTCGTGTCTCTGGTGGAGCAGACAGATTCGAATCTAGTGGCGCACACGTGCCAGCGCACACCAGTGTGCACACACATTTCTACACACGTAGTTTACCCCCACCCTCTTCTTTCCTTTTTTAAAAAATTGGGACAGGGAATACATTGTGTGTCCGTGAAAAAGTTTCCTTTGTTCTTCTGGGCATTTTCTATTTTGAGTAATGGAGTAGGAGTACAAAAAGGTTGCAATTAGTTCACTCGAATAACAGACATTGCCTCTGAGTCACAGCTGCCAGGTTGATAATTATTAACATATAAAAGCAAATGCACTGTTTAAGGCAAAAGGGGCGGGGCGGGGGCAGGTCCTCGGCAGACAATGAGGGAGATTCTCTGCCAACTGCCTCCTGCTTATTGTTCCGGGACTAGAGACTGCAGCCTAGTCCTCCGGGGCTCAGCTCCTCGCTCGCTTCTCCGTCCCTCTGGGGACCGGACCGTTCAGGGTCACCTAACGCTGGCCCCCGGGGCACCGGGACGCTAGCCCCAAGGTGCAGCTGCTCTTCGCTGACCACTCTCTCTCTCTGCCTGGCAGGTTGGCAGCTTCACTCCCTAGGGTGCCGGGAGCCCAGGCGGCGAGGACCCGGCACCCCTAGCTCAGGGAGGTGGGATGCGGCGTGGACAGCAGCGCTAAGTGCTCCCCACTCTCTGCGCGAGGCGCACTCCCTCCTGGCCTCAGGCCGAGCAGCGGCAGCGGCCGGCGGCGGCGGCGGTGGCGGCGGAGGGGATGATCCCGGGACGCACAAGGCGCCTGCTTCAAGCTACTGCCCGGAGGGGGACGCCGAGCAGGGCTCATCACAGGACCCCGCGGACCCCTGTCCCTGGTGGCACGCGGCTGCGGAGCCTTGGAGCCGCGTCTGTGGTCAGGATGCACTGGGCACCTCCCTGCTGGTGAGGATGCCCTGCTGCGCGGCCCTGCACCCCCAGCCCCAGTCCCAGGTAGGCAAGACTGAGTGGGCCCGGCTTCGGCCCCTCGTGCCAGTGGATGAAACGTTTTGGAGTGCTTGGGTGTCGTCAGCTATCGAATCTGAATGGTAAGCGCCATGGACGAAGGCAGTGGACTGCAGCCCGGGGCGGGAGAGCAGCTGGAGCCACCGGCCACCGCAGGAGCTGTTCAAGAGAGGTGCGAGCCGGAGACCCTCAGGTCTAAGAGTTTACCTGTCCTCAGCAGCGCCTCCTGCCGGCCGAGCCTCAGTCCCGCGAGTGTAGACGCCAAGCCGGCCTTCGGCTGTACAGATTCTTCGGGCCCCCAGGAGTTGAAACAAGGCCCGAACCCGTTGGCCCCCAGTCCCTCTGCCCCGTCCACTTCGGCGGGGATGGCAGGGCTTGGGGACTGCAACCACAGAGTGGACGTCAGCAAAACCTTCTCAGTGTCCTCCGCCCTGGCCACACTCCAGGAGAGAAGGTGCCTCTACGTGGTCCTCACGGATTCCCGTTGCTTCCTGGTGTGCATGTGCTTTCTGACCTTCATCCAGGCGTTAATGGTCTCTGGGTACCTGAGCAGCGTCATTACCACCATTGAAAGGCGCTACAGTCTGAAGAGTTCCGAGTCAGGGCTGCTGGTCAGCTGCTTTGACATTGGGAACCTGGTGGTGGTGGTGTTCGTCAGCTACTTTGGCGGCCGGGGTCGGCGGCCCCTGTGGCTGGCCGTGGGTGGACTCCTCATCGCCTTCGGGGCGGCCCTCTTCGCCTTACCTCATTTCATCTCACCCCCCTACCAGATCCAAGAGCTGAATGCCTCGGCCCCCAACGACGGCCTGTGTCAGGGAGGCAACTCCACCGCCACTTTGGAGCCTCCCGCCTGTCCGAAGGACTCGGGAGGAAATAATCACTGGGTCTACGTGGCTTTATTCATTTGTGCGCAGATTCTCATTGGAATGGGTTCCACACCCATTTATACCCTGGGACCAACCTACTTAGATGACAATGTCAAGAAAGAAAACTCCTCCTTGTACCTAGGTAAGAATTTCCTGTTCTCTCAGATACATTTCACTCACGCTGAAACTTACTTTCCTTACAAAAATCAAAAGGAAACATTATCTTTCGCATTTTCATTTATATTGAACAATCAGTTCACTTTATGCTTTAGCCTTGCTGTGGTGTGTTTTCAGTTTGAGAGAGAATCAATTAGTTGAGAGTTTTCAAAACTAATTTTCAGACTCATATTTCGTGTTTGTCTTTTCCCAAGCAACATAAACTTCGTGGGCTGATGCTTCTCTCTGTTGCTACCTACCTTTGGAAAAGCTCCAATTTGTCAAGTTTATATTCTAATACACTTGTTCAGGAAGCAATAGAAGTGCCTTGTGTGTAAAGTTTTGAATGATTTTCTGCTTCTATCTGCTGCTGCTTCTGATTTCTGTCCAGAGCAGCAGGGATGGTGGCGTGGCCACACTACATACATCATGCTTTATTGCCTTCATACCTGTATTTCTGTTTTTCTTTTTCTTTTTTTAAAAGTTTTTTTTTTTAGACAGAATCTCTCTCTCACCCAGGCTGGAGCCCAATGGTGCTATCTTGGTTCACTGCAACCTCCATCTCCCAGATTCAAGTGATTCTTCTGCCTCAGCCTCCTGAGTAGCTGGGATTACAGGCACCTGGCATCATGCCTGGCTAATTTTTGTAGAGATGGGATTTCACCATGTTGGCCAGCAGGCTGGTCTTGAACTCTTGACCTCAGGCGATCCACCTGCCTCAGCCTCCCAACACCCAAAGTGTTGGGATTCATACCTATATTTCTTATATGTCACCTTCATTGCTATCTAAAAACAACAATAAAAATTTGAAAGATGTACAATGACTGGCTTATCTTTATGAAGAAGCAACACCGCAGGTCATAAGTTTATCCAAAGCTATTTTTTATTGCTGTCAAAGACCCTCAATTATATGAACTTGGGAGAAGAATCCATTCCTATTTTCTGAAAAGCTGTGGCTCTGGGATTTGGTGTGTTGACTTACATAAATCAGCAACAGTGGACAGAGGTGCTTGAGTTAAGTACAGGGGGCTCACGTGAGGCCAGGCAGCAGTTGCAGAGGGTAGGAAAATTTATATCCTAGAAATTCCAGGTTGTTAGCATCTCCCTGTAGTAGCTGGTTCTACAAAACTGAACTTCTAAGGTATGTATTTGAATCCATAAGAAGGATCAATGGCTGTCATACCAGATGAGATTTTTGTTTTTCCGTTTCTCTACTGGAGTGCACCCTAAGCAAGCTAAAGGATTTTACTTTATTAAAAAAAAAAAAAAAATCCTGAGACTGGACGCAGTGGCACATGCCTGTAATCCCAGCACTTTGGGAGGCCAATGCAGGTGGATGATGAGGTCAAGAGATCAAGACCATTACGGCCAACATAATGTTGATTAGTTCCTCATTTAAAAAATACAAAATTTAACTGGGAATCTCTACTAAAAATACAAAAATTAACTGGGTGTGATGGTGTGCACCTGTAGTCCCAACTACTTGGGAGGCTGAGGCAGGAGAATCGCTTGAACCTGTGAAGCGGAGGCTTCAGTGAACTGAGATTGTGCCACTGCGCTCCAGCCTGGGTGACAGAGTGAGGCTCCATCTCAAAACAAACAAACAAACCAACCAACCACTGAAATGGGAGCCAGGTGTGGTGGTGCACACCTGTAGTCCCAGCTACTCAGGAGGCTGAGGCAGAAGGATTGCTGGTCCCAAGGGCTTGAGACCAGCCTGGGAAACATAGTTAGATCCCATCTAAGAGATGGTAAGTTAAAATGGCAAATAAACAAATATTAGCTATATTTAACAATTTATTAGCCATGTGCTCATAGGATCCTTGATTTGGGAATAGTAAGATCTTCAAAGGACAGTGAAAATGACATCCAATGTAAGAAGGCTAGGTTTTGTCCTCAGTATAGTTACTGTCCCCAGAAGCTGGTATAGAGGGGAGTGTAATCCCCAGTAACTGTCTCAATGGGTCAGGATGAGCGTTTTATAACTTGTTTTTATTACTACATGCAAATGGAAAGAAATTTCCTTACTGGGTAGAGAAGAATAGCTTGCTTGTTACCTTGCCTCTGTGTTTTCTAACATTTATTAAGACAAAATTTTAAACACACAGAAAAGTTGAAACAACATTATAATAAGCACCAGTATATCCAACAAGTAGACCCAATAATTGTTTATTTTGTCATGCTTGCTTTGTCAACCTATGTGTGAGTGTATGAATGTACAGAAATATATTTTGGGGGATGAGAGGCTAAGCCCTCTAAAAGTAATTGCAGACACTGCTAGGGAATCTTCTGAAAATGAGGGTATTCTTTTATATAACTGAAGGAACATCAACATCCTAAGAAAGTTCATAATCATTCCCTAATATTAAATATTCAGGTCATATTCGGATTTCCTCAATTGTCCTCTGAAAGTCTTTTATATTGATTGATTGATTGATTGAGACAGGGTCTTTCTTTCACTCAGGCTGGAGTGCAGTGGCATAATCTCAGCTCACTGCAACTTCTGCCTGCCAGACTCAAGCAATCCTCCCACGTCAGCCTCTCAAGTAGCTGGGACTATAGACCTGTGCCACCATGCCCAGCTACTTTTTTGTGGAGACATGGTTTCATCATGTTTCCCAGGCTAATAATAATTACCTTTTAAATGGGGAACTAATCAACATTCATTCATGCATTGAATTTGGCTGTTAGCCATTTTAGCCTTTTATAATCCAGAACTGTGCCTCAACTTTTTTCTTTTTCCATGGCATAGACTTTTTGAAGGCACAAGGCTAATGTTCCACATTTTAGATGTATCTGATCATTTCCTCATGGTGTGACTTACCTTGTTCCTCCATTCCCTGTATTTCTTTTATGCTAGAAGATCAACCTAGAGGCTTGACTAAATTCAGACAAAACGTTTTTGGTCAGACTATGTCAGAGGCGATGCTGGGTGTTTTATATTACATGCACCTTGCCGTTAATTAGTGGTATTAAGCATAATCATTTGGCTGAGTGAGTGATTGATGTGTCTTTCCATTGTAAAAATACAGTTCTCAGGCCGGGCGCGGTGGCTCAAGCCTGTAATCCCAGCACTTTGGGAGGCCGAGGCGGGTGGATCACAAGGTCAAGAGATCGAGACCATCCTGGTAAACATGGTGAAACCCCGTCTCTACTAAAAATACAAAAATTAGCTGGGCATGGTGGCGCGTGCCTATAATCCCAGCTACTCAGGAGGCTGAGGCAGGAGAATTGCCTGAACCCAGGAGGCGGAGGTTGCGGTGAGCCGAGATCGCGCCATTGCACTCCAGCCTGGGTAACAAGAGTGAAACTCCGTCTCAAAAAAAAAAAGAAAAAAAAAAAAAATACAGTTCTCACTTTGGAAATAATAATGAATCTGTAGAGTGATACCTGGACTCTGAGTAAATATGCCAGTTGTTTTTCATATTCTTGCTGATTTTTGCTTCTACTTACTTTGAAAACTTGGATCTTCCTTCCATCCCACCTTTGGTAGCATCGATGCAGACTAGCTTTGTCAAAATGACAGGCAGAACCCTATTGAAAGGGAGGACATCCACGGACAAGAGCCCTGAGATTTACCTTTTCTGGTAGTGGTTGCCCACCAAGAAGAAAAACAGCAAGTGAATATGAAGTACATATTCTGTGCTAGGTACTCTGCTAATTTTGGGAAGACCAAAAATGAGACACAGTCCCAGCATTTGAGGTGTCTTCAGTGTAGGTCAATACTGCTGATTCAAGGTAGGGGCGTAAAATGACGTGTGCAAGGGAAGGAAAGGAATAGAAATGGTATTCACTTTCCTCCTTCTTTTCTTTTTTGAAGATATTGATTAAATTGCTTTTTTTCTGGAAAAAATTTGATGAATGCATTCGGACACATTTTTTTAGAAACCAAGAGAATTCTGCTTCCTATTAAATGGATCCCAGTAAAAGCTATAGTAGTTCGAGTATGAGAAATCTTACATATATTATTTCACTTAATGTTCTCAATGAACTTATGAGATGGAGATTTTTTCCCCTGTGTTACAGATGAGGAAACAGGCTCAGAGAGTTTAAGTGACTTACTTAAGGGCCTCAACCCCATGCCCTTCTGACCCCGGGGATCTTGAGCTTCCTTCTACAGTGCATGGCTCCTTGGCAAGAAGCCCTGAGAGCCAGTTGAAACTGAAGGATGTGCCAGATTCAGCAGAGTTTTCCAACAGCGCAGAAGAACGCAGAATGCAGAATTGCCTTGAAGTCGTCAAAACATGATCAAAATAAGATTATTCTCTAAACCCTTTAAAGTAGGTTTGATAGACCTACCTCTGTACAAATTAGAGTCAGAGACTATTATGCCCTTAGAACATGAGCAGTATTGACCAATTATGATGTGAGACATTTCCCAATACATAACAGGCTAAAATACCTTTCTTATTTTTCACAAAGGTGTTCTGTGTTACGTTTTTTTTTTTTTTTTTTTTTTTTTTTGAGACGGAGTTTCGCTCTTGTTACCCAGACTGGAGTGCAATGGCGCGATCTCGGCTCACCGCAACCTCCGCCTCCTGGGTTCAGGCAATTCTCCTGCCTCGGCCTCCTGAGTAGCTGGGACTACAGGCACGCGCCACCATGCCCAGCTAATTTTTTGTAGTTTTAGTAGAGACGGGGTTTCACCATGTTGACCAGGATGGTCTTGATCTCTTGACCTCGTGATCCACCCGCCTCGGCCTCCCAAAGTGCTGGGATTACAGGCTTGAGCCACCGCGCCCGGCCTTCTGTGTTACGTTTTTAACCGCCCAACCCTTTCTTAACTTCCCTGTTCATCTTTCTAACTTCTCATTATAATCTCAGAGGAAAGAAAAAAAATCAGGTAGTAGGTTAGTAATTATGGGCAGGAAGAAATATCTGTGGTAACGTAAAAACCATTGAAATGGAATGTAAGTGTGTATCTTAATCTTTTGAAACTTCTATGTTAACATTCTGGCAGCCTTAAGTGTAGAAGAGTTGTGGTCA